TTGAGTGATATTTTTAAAAAGTGATATTTTTAGAATTTTTACTTTTTGTATCTATTTGTGAGAAACCGTTCTAAAACTTCTTGCGGGGATAGTTTGAATTTCGTACGGCATACAGCAACCGTCCGCTGGCAAAGCTGTCTATGGATCCTTTTCCCGAGCATTGCTTGAAAGTAAGCTAGTGATGGTTTTGAGACGTGTACCAGTACTGATTATTGTCAAACCAAGTCGTTCGCAAGCTAGTTTTGTTGTACGCTCGACAATAAAGGCAATGAAGAATCATAACTTGCTGTCACACCATGGCTGCTTTTTTAATAAATTTTCATTATTAATTTTTAAAAGACAAAACACGTATTAACAAGTGAATGACGCATATTAGCAAATGGCACTAAGCGGAAAAAACGACCACTCGGACGACCCTAGAAGAGGAGAAGCACTGAACAGGTAGCGGGCACTAACTGGATACTTGCAGCTCAGAATCAGAAGAATTGGAATAGCTGTGCTTGGCGTATGGGAACATCTAAGTAATATAACTACCAAGGGATATCCACACTGGTAGCCCGAGCTAACTTGGTATTCTTGTTAATAAAAAAGCATTTGTCAATACGCCTTGCTCTTGAAAACTTTTCAACAATTGTTCCTCCTTAACAAGGAATTTTGGCTTCTCCGGTGGTAGGAGTTCTGAAACAAACGAGCGTTTCAGAGTATGGAGGATAAGTCGGCACTGCGAAAGTCGATTCTGAATATGTCAGAAGAGGATGCAAAGAAGGCACGAGCTGCAGAGGAGGTGACATTTTTCGTGGAAAATTCAGCCATTCTTTCTGCTACAAATAAAATAAAAGAAACCAACTGGAAAAAATAACTGAAAATAAAAAGTCCGCATTGTAGGAGCAGTCGAGAAATAAAATGCGTAGATTGGGAACAGTCAGTGCTTTGTCTAGTAAATTTGTTCAACCAGAGATCAAACCGGAAACGTACAAGTTAGTTACGTTTTTTTTTTCATGGACGAGAACAGGAAAATTTTTTGACTGATTTATTTGAGATAATTTACATTGCAGGTACAAACGTTCTCCGCTGCTCGAGACCAAAGATGGCACATGGCCAAAACGTACTTATGCTCCCGTTATTAAGCCTGAAATCAATGACAGTTTTGACAAGCAGGCGGGTTGCACAAAAACCTTTTCTACTTTTCAAATTCAACACCACTTATTCCCGTTCTCTAAAGTTTCACTTTTGGGGTTGACCAGAATCCGAACCAAATTTATTCAAATAAATTCAGACTGTATTCATTCAGATTAATTCAAAATCTGGTTGTTTCCTGTCTACTTAATTCAAGCAGACTGCCCTAAGTTCAGGGGTATTTCCGGTAGGCCATTTCGTTTATGTTTTTTTTAGTTCGTCTTTATGACAAACTGTTACCATCGTGTCAGCGATATTCGAGGTTTTAAGCTGCTTGCATTCTTGGAAGAGGAAAATATCACAGCTTTGTCAACAGATAAGGTCAAAGCTCTGTCACTTAGAAAAACCATAGACGTGAAAGGAAAACTGTGGAGGTTTTCTGCCCTTAAATTAACAGAAGTGTTTAAACTTTACTTGTTTGTGCGACATATTTAGTAACTGGAACTAAAAATTTTGTTGTTCAGCTAAGCGAGTGCAGGAATTCTAAAATATTTAGATGGAAGAAATCCGAGCTAAGATGGAAACCGGAAATACATTGTTAAGCAATCAGTTCGCCGATCTGAAGCGGGGAATTGCTTCGCTGGCCGATGACGCCAGACGAGCGACTCTCGAAGAAAAACACAAACAGTTGCTTCTAGAGGCCGGAGAAACTTTTGAGTTAGTTTTAGTTGCTTTGAAAAGTCTCGTTCAAAAATCGAAGTAGCTAACGGATTTTTGAGAGAATTAACAATAATTAAAAGTATAAGGTTTGAGGATTATTTTTCTTGAGGTCGATTACATCAATATAGTTTGAGGACTAAACTCCATCGACACTTAATAAATAAAGATTTTTGGGATGATAACAGATAGAAGTAATGAAGACAAAAATAAGCGAACGTAGTGAGACAGAAGCATGGAAATATTTATTACATGATTTACAAAAATATTATGTAATATAGTAGAGAGACAAGGTCAAATTGCAGAAAAGCGGGAAATGATTTTAAAAAATGGAGAGAAAATCGTACAGCTGAATACCAAAAGGAGCTCGAAAAGCAGGAGCAAGAATTGCACCGGCAGAAGGCCCAAAAAACGCAGCCGCTTGCAAAAGCCCCTGCTCCGGTAAAAAAATCTTTATTTTTGGCCTTCAGAACCGGTCTATATTCAGCAAACTCATCCTTCCTAATGATTCAGAAATTATAAGCCTAGTAAATACATTATTCTCATAAGAATGCTGACTCATAACTGACGGACAGTGACTGTCCGTACCATGGGTTAACTTTCTCTTCTTTCCGTCTTCTTTCATCTGTTTTTTCCTTCTTTCGCATATCTCTCTTGCAAATTACACATGGTAGGTAGGAGGCTCTAGTGATGATTCTCGATCTTATCCGCACGCAAGGTTCGGGTAGGAGCGGGAATCATTACAGCTAAGGGATGAGACACAGACTGCATCCTAATATGTAGTTATACATATGAAACTTAGACCAGTCCCTCAACTCTTATTTTCTTATTCCTATTTTTTAAGGCTTAATTTAGTGAGTAAAATTCAATGGATCTAAGATGCCGACAAGAGTTTGTTAGAGGGCCGAAGCTTTTATCGATCGGCAAGGTTAACATGAGCTGAAAAATGTCAAAGCCAAGACGTTTAAATGTAATGATAAATCGGGCAAAAGGAAGACAGCCACTGTTTTGCTTATGATCGAGCTCATCGCCCTACATACCCTGGATTCATCTCAAAAAAAATACTCTTATGTCTCCAAATTTTTCATGTTTTTCTATGACAGCATGAAAAAGTATCATAGTTAAAATTTAAATTGCCGGCATATTCAACCAAATTTTTCAGGTACAGCAGTTATCAGAGCCCAAGAAAACGGTAAGGCGATTGAAGCCACTAATGGACGCAGCGAATTCGATTACGGATTTGGCTG